TTTTTTTTTTTTTTTTTTTTTTTGGTATCGGGGATTGAACTTGGGTCCTTGTGCTTGCAAGGCAGGCCACCAAACCGTTGAGCCAAATCCCCGGCCCTGGTCATCCACATTTAAAATGACTTCAAATGCATGCTGGTCTTCTATATAAACAGTAACAAGCAGAAATATCTGAATGCACCACATCTTAATTCAAAAACCATTTTTAATGATTCTAAATTTTTCAAGACTCATCCCACCCACTAGTCGATCTTATCACTCCCAGACCCACATCGAGCCAGCATCAAAAAGGCACAGAATAAGCATTCAGAAAGGCAAATGTCTGTATACCCACCATTTAATTGTATACTTGAGGTTTGGTTGACTGACTGTGCTGTCATCTAGGAAGATCGTAGAGCAGGAGCTGTACTTCCTTGCTATTTGTCCTGGAGGATGCTAGAAAACAATGGCAACAAGACAAAGACAGTTACACAGGGCTTAGAATTCCTCCAAGGAACATCTTTCATTTATTTGAGATCAGATTACAGAGGGAAAACGTATACAACAACAATACCAGAACAAAAACATTTTATTATAAAATGAATTTCTTGTTCTTCCACCTCACTCCTAAATTTTCCTCGTTAGGAGACGAGTAAATCAATGTCTGCAACCAAACATCAAAGAGCACATTTCAGAATCTATAAAAATTACTAGTCCTGAGGCCTGAGTGACACGTGGATTACACTGCTCACTGTGTTTCTGAAAGCCCATAATGAAGGTGGCATTTTAGCTTTATGCACTAAGATCAAGACGCAAATCCACTGTAATCAGTTTCTCTACTCTTGGAAAACAGCTGACTTGGGCACTACAGAAAATGAAACCAAGGTTAATTTAAATTTGGTTAGGCTGCTTACATTTCAACATGAGAAGTAATAAAGAAAAATGTTTCTATGTTAAGGACAAAATGCATTTTGAAGATTACCTGACACTTTTGAAAATACATGATGGGGTGACTTTTAGGTAGGATGCTTACACACTCCTTACTGGTTCTTTCAAAACTATACATTTTCAGTTCTGTGGAGAACTTTTATGGTAAAGAAAACTCTTTAGGTTACACACTGATGTCATCTGATTGAATGCTGTAGTTTTCTGACAACTATTTGAGTAATATAATTAGTAGATATCAATGCAGATAACTCCTGATCAGAATAAAATCCAATCAGGCAATTAAGTTTCCACTTGCCTAATGATCTGCTGGCAGTCTGTCATTTTCATCAACCAAAACACTAATTCCTTGGAAATCATAAAATCGCCTGCCTATCTGCCCTCCCTCAGCAAAAGCCCTGGGATACACAGTTCTCAAATTTAGCTAAAGAAACCTTAAGACCAGTTAAAGACAAAATACCCAGCTCAATACTTTGTCATTTACTTTCAAGTAATATGCTTCCCCTGCAATAAAATTATGAAAATATGCAATAGCTTGAGAAATGCATAAACAATGTTATAAACACTATTTCCTCCTGGCGCTAAATAATAAATACTATTTGGGGTATCCAATTCCTTACATCACAGCTAGAGGGCACTGTACCACTAAAGCGTTCTGACCCTCCAGGCCCAGTTTCACATAAACAGCATTTAGGTCAGGAAGTGCAGACCAGACTTGTTCTCTGAATCTGTGAAACCCCCTCTCAAACTCTTTCACAGTTTCACCACTGTGAAGAAAGGGCATGAACAAAGCCTGTAAAGTTTAAGGTACAATTTGAATCTATCAAAATGTCACAACATTCTATTAAGACAATGCTGCAGGCACTTTTTAATCTCTTGTAGCAATTACTTAAGTCACATAAAACATACTAAAAAATCATTAAAATGGGCATTAAACAACAAAAGTATTAAAATGTGTAGCAGGCTTTTAAAATCCTTATAACACTGTCCCCAAAGATGCAAAAATTTACTACAAATAAAAATCTTGGGGGGTGGTTTGTGCTGGGGATCAAACTCAGGACCTTGCACTTATGAGGCAGGCGGCAGCCCCACTGAGCTAAATCCCCAGCCCACAAACAAAAATCTCAACATACATTATAGCTGCACAAAAATACAGTACTTAATTCATATGTTAAGTAAATTTTGGGAGATATGACATGTAATAATCCCAATGAAGCAAAGAGACAATGATATTTGACTACTTCTCGTGCGGTTTCAATTTTCCTTTGGTACAAATTCCTTCAAGGTTAAATGTGGCAGGAATCCACATCTGGAAAATACAAGACATGATGTCAGAGAGTGATGAATGAGCACTGTCTGCACTCCTCACAATCTAAGATCGCCTATGCTAGCCACTGTCTGGGATGCTCTTCTGTGCTCAGCCCCAAGGGTCAGAGGATTAATCAGTCAGGCCAAGGCACCCAGTCCTGATCTCCTGTTAGTCCACACTTCCCAGAACTATGGCATGATGAGCGAAGGGCCTTCATTTTCCAAGGGGACACAGCTCAGCTTTCAAACTCTTTAACAACTTCTAAATTGAATAAAACCCTAAGAACTAAGTCATCAGACTTTTGGTTTCCTTGTATCTCATCACTTTTAATGTTGCTGGGTCATTACTTCATTGCCAGTGCCAGGGCTGCAAGAGTTGTAGAATGTAGGGAAACATCACTTACTTAACTGGAAGATCCACACAACTAACAGCTGAGCTGGCCAGGACCCTTCTGCCAGGTACAGTCGAGCTCAGGGAAGATTCCCTGATTTGGGTGTTGGCTTGAACTGTTCTTTGAGGGCACGGCAGAAAAAAGCAAACCAATGTTCAGCACTACACAACCACTACTCAGACAGCTTTAAACCTTCACAATGCCTCTGAAGGCGGAAGCAGTGTTCCACAGCTCCACTGAAGGACCTACCCTACTTGGTTAACACCAAGTTTTTAATTAGCACATAGTGTGTTGGATAGTTCTCACTTAAGGCAAAAATTTTATTACTTTACTAGCATGACTTTGAAAAATCACTATGCTTGTACACATGTGACACACACAGACTCTCCACTTAGGCTCCAATCTCTGCTAGTAAATAATATAGCAATTAAGTGCATTGGAGAAATAGCAGAGCAAAGTGGGGAAGATACAGATGCTCGGGTGTGGATCTGACTCACCAAAACCACCAAGGGGGCCTGGGGAAGTCAACAGATAGCCTCCAAACTCTGAAACTCAGTTTCCACACCTGAAGAACACAGATGACAGTAATAGCCTGTCCCTTGTGAGGCCACTATGAGGAGCATCTGGATTAATATTTGTAAGCACTGACCATTGTCAACAGAGTGGTAGGAGTGCTATCTATGCCTAACATGCATAACACTTAAAATAATGTGCTTAAGACAGTGTTTCACTTGGGAAGGACAGGCATATACAAACAGCTTGCAGAGAGATTCCCACCAATGACAATCGACTCCCAGACAGGGAAGACACTAAGAGGCCAATCACGGACACCACTTAGAAGGGGAGCAGGGAGCAGCCTGGGTAGTAAGAAGCCCAAATATAGGTCATTTCTAGAGAAATAAGTTTGTGTCTTTGAAAGAATGTGTATATTATAAAATAATCTATGCTTATGCCAAATAATAGAATTTTAGAGCTACAATGAAACAAGATTATCTGTTTAGTGTCCACAATACAAAATAATTTCACAGCAAGGTCCACTAAGGTAAAAATTGTTGGAATATATATTTTAAAAGATTTTATTAAAGAATTATTGTGTGTTCAAAATAATAAAATCACCTCTTCAGATAATTCCGACTTTTTCAGATACAAAGATATACAGGTACACGCATCTGGTTGTGCACCGATGCACACATATGCACAACTGAAGTGTGGAACAGGGAGGCGGCAGGGCAGGGATAAGACCTCAATGTATTCTCCAAACAGACCCGACCCCGATTCCTTCTCAAACCGCACACACACTGCTCAAACCCTCTCCCTGAGCTGGCTGCCTCAAGGGAATGTGTAGGCAGCAGGCAGTGTCCGCGCAACTCTTTTCTTCCTCCCCGGCGAAGGAACCTGAGGACCCCACCACTCATCTCTGGTGGAGACCACACTTTCTTCATCCAGACTTTCTTTCTCAGCAGGCTCACCCTGCACACTCTTCCCATTCAGTAAGAACTCACGACTGCTTGACCAAGAAGCACTTTCCAGTCCTAATATGAACTGAAGTTTTGACATGAAACTCTTGGATTCTCTCCCAGCTCTTTCTCGCTTCTCAGTCTCAGTCACTTTTGTGGACTCCACTACTTATCTCCTTTCACTGCTAGGATGGACTTTTCTTCACCCTCCACACTGGCTCTGCCAGGGGACTCTGATGCATTCTCGTCATTTCAGATGCCTTTTGCTCCCTGATGCCCTGCCCCTTGCCCCTTGCCCCCTGCCCCTTGCCCCCTTGCAAGCTCGCCTCTGCCTGGCAGACCTCTCTTACCTGCATACTCCACACAGGTACTTCAATGTCAAATTAATGTGTTCCTCCAATCAACTGTAACAACTTAAAACCAGAAATCCAGCAAACATTCCTGTCTTTTATCTTCCTTTCCTTTAACTTCTTATACCAAGAGCTGTTTATTCTGCCTCCTTCGTACATTTCAAAAAATCATCCTTTCTTCAACATTGCTTGAGCCACCATCTGGTATATGACAGGCTACTCTCAATTCTCACCGGTATTACGACTGTAATCACTCGCCTCTTGGCTCAGTCTTTCCCAAAGCATTCTTCCCCTGGTGCTACTGTCATCTTCCAGGAAGCCAAGCAATCATGGGGTCTCCTTGCTCAAACGACTGGAGAGGCTCTGAACTTAGGGAGGAGGTCATTCAACTCCTCAGGTCCACCATTCACTTCTTTCTCCCACGAACACTGCACTTTATATCTAATTAGATGATGGCTGCAACAGTTTTATTTAATGGCCATCAAATGTGAGTTGGCAATATTCTGTTACTTTCCAAGTGCGCATTTACAGTTTAAAATAACATCCTTGAAAGCAGGTTTGGCTGTCATTACAGAGTGTCAACGGAGGTCAGGGAAATAAAGTCACAATTCTGAGGTCACACCTAAGAGCTCAAAAGCACATTTATTCCAAGTTGGTGCCTTTCTCCCTGTAGTTCCCACATGCTCCGGCTTCTCCAAACTTTTCATACTATATTTCAAAGATCTCTGGTTCCCTGATCACTCCTCCTTCAGAACTCTGCTGATGACCCTTCCACAGGATACCTTCCTACCCCCAGACCATCTAGGCTGAGAGCGGTTCCTGTGTCCTCTGTTTGCCCACTTTCCACTGTAATCCTCCACTCCCTCATCTCTGTACCACCTGGGGCCTCAACTCTAAGTGTGTTGAAGGGAGAGACTGGATAGTTGTAGATCCCTGCCTGGGTCCAGTGCACTCCCAGCCTGCCATCAGCCATGGCACTCTGCCTCCATGGCAGCAGCAGCCAT